TAGAGGTTAGAAGCTTCCAAATGATGCGTATCAAACACGCCTGAGAAATAACTAGATCTAGCAAACCAAAGAGCAATTTAAAAGCTTTATACTCACAAAGTTCCAAAATTAGTATATTTCTTGGATCTACATTTGCTCCTTCCTTTTATGATACTAGTAGAACTTCAAGATCTTCAAGCTTCATTAAAACAATGGAGAAATAAGCCTACAAATCAACCACTTCCTCAAGATATATATATATATATATATATATATATATATATAGAGAGAGAGAGAGAGAGAGATAGGGGTTAGGGTTTCTAAAAAAAATCGCTCAAAGGGTGATGGAGGCTTAGAATAACCAAATACTAGGGGTTAATGACCATTAAATAGTCTCAAAAATCTAATAAACTCGTTCAACACATAGGTCAGGCATGCCACGCCATCTAAATAGGCGCCCCGTGCCTATAAACAAATCCTCAAATTTTTAGTTTTTTTAGATTTCAATGAATTGAATAGTTTTAAATCAGAATAAATTACATAGTCAAAAAACAGATTTTACACAATAACAACGCATTTCTCCCCGGAAACAACATCGTCAAATAGGAGATGATCAACATCAACCATAGCCACATTCACCCCTTCCATATATACGATGATGATGATTAAAAAAATGACCAAGACAATAAGGTGATGTTCGTTTTTTTTTAAACCTATTCTAACCTCTTAGTGTTGTATGGTGCAGCACACATGCAACACTTTTAAGTTTGCAACAGTTTGTTTTTTAAAAGACTTTGGGATTAAAAACCTCTTCCCATCCTCTGCCCCACACAACATTGGGCTTGGTTCTTCTCGTTACTTCTAACCTAATCTAAACAAACAAAAAAAAGCAGACAAAATTGTAGCCTCATTCCCTTCTCGTTCTCCATCTTCCTTCTTGTCATCAATCCTGTTGAAGAACGGAAGATCTCCTCCAGCCGCTCGCCAATCGCCACTTGTCGCTCGCCGCTGCCTAGTCGACCACCGCCACTGCCATCATCTTCAACAAGTTAGTTTTTTCTGATCTCTTATTTAAGTATCGATTATATGTTGTTGAGTACCAAATTTCTGATTTGAGTGTCGGTTATGTTGCTAAGATATGAAGAATCATTGCTAGATACTTTGTTGAATGTTGATTTATGATAAAATCTTTACTGGGAATTGTTAATTAAACAATTTTATTCCACTTTGATGTTTGGTTTCTTATAAATTGTTTTTAAGTTTCCACGAATTCTCAACAGTGATATCATAGGCTGCTTGTAAATCCCTTGATTACATTTGATTTCTTTTGTTCATTTGTCACCATCGATTCTTCATGGTGGATTGGAATGATAAAAAAATCTCAAAATGTAAATATTGCTCATACTTAAAACACGTGTGATCCGACATTTACTTGTTGAATATGTTCTTTTTAATAATATCTAATGATCAAAGTTATAATACAAATATATTATTTGCTGAATTTTTATCACTTGTATTTCTTGAATGGAGATCAAGTTTATGCTTATATGCAAGTTTGTGCTTAAAGCGTTGAATATGCTAAACTTATTTGTTGATTGTCTTCTATAATCTTTGCTTATATGGTTTTTTTTTTCATTCATGATGCATTGTTATTGAATATGCTAAACTTATTTGTTGATTATATTGAAATATGATTAATCTTTGTTGCTAAATTTTGTATTTCATATGTATATATATATATATATATATATATATATATATATATATATATATATATATATATATATATATATTAGCAATGGGAGATAAACATACATGGACCAATGAACAAATAAAATGTTTATTGCTCGCTTGTATTAAAGAATTACAAACTATGGGTAGGAACGGTTTGAGTTTTCATAAACAATCATGGCACAAGTTAGGAACAACTATTAAGGAAAAGTATGGTGTGGAATTAAATCAACAACAATTAAAAAACACCTATAATAACCTGAAATCAAAATACACAGGATGGTTATACTTAAAAAACAAAATTGGCAACCTTTACAATCCATAAACATACACACACACATATATTTATATGTATTTTGTTTATATAGTTTCCATTTATTCTTATATTACTTTTGTTACATTGATTGGGTTTAGGGACATCCGAAAGTCGCTTCTTTTAAAATCGTCCCATTATTGTTTCTAGAGCTTTATGCAGAACTCATTGATGGAAACAGTGCATCTGGTAATCTCAGCGATGCCACATCCCAAACACCATCGGGACATGGATCATCTTCTTTCCATGTCGCACCACTAAATCTTATGGACGCCCTTTCCATTAACATAGATGAAGATGATTACTTGTCCAATCATACTAGTGAGCATTTTACTTAACCACCACGTTCTGTTGTTTCATCTTCTGCTGGTTCACCTTCTGTTGATTCAACTTTTTTTGCTTCACCTTCTGGTAACCCCCAATAAAAGGGCTAAACCCTCAACTCCTAGACCTCGAGCTCCTAGTGCCTCACCTGATCTACCTTCTTGTGCCTCGCCTAAAGCTTTTATTACTGCTAATGATTTACCACTGGAGATGCAAAAAGCTCTACGCCATTTGACTCAAGGGTCAACAAGTCCCCAATGTTTAGAGAAGCTTGAGTTGCCCAATGATCCACAAATATTAAGAGGATGGATCGAGATGATAGCTACAAGTTTAGGAGTTTTAAAGGATGAAAGATTGTTCGTTAAGTTTATATGTTTGAGTTGTTTAGGTTTTAATTGTATGTTTTGGAACTATATGGTTATGTTTTTTGGTTATTTGCTACTTGGATGTTATTTGTAGTATTTGGTACTTGAATCTTATGCTATTTGGTATTTGAGTTTTATGTTATGTTTTCTGGTACTTGAATCTTATGTTATTTGCTATTTGACTTTTATGTGATTATCAAGCGGAGATTTCAACACTCAAAGCAAACGATTCATAAGTTTTTTCATGAAGTGTTGGACAAAATGTTGCTTTTCTCACATGACATTATAGTACCAACTTCTTTTAATCTGAATACAAACATTCTAGGACATAATAGGAGGCTACAACGGATATTCAAAGGAGAAGTTGGTGCACTTGATGACACTTTGATACATGTTGTTGTCCCTGCAAACAAACGAGATTTATATAGAAGTAAGGGAAAAGACGATTGTTACCAAAACGTATTGGCAATATGTGACTTCAACATGATGTTTACATGTGCTGTGGCCAGTTGGGAAGGGATAACACACAATTCTAGAATATTATCAGAAGCATTAGCAAATCCACATGCACCATTCCCGTTATCACCATCAGGTAAGTTTATAGTTATTTAAATAGTTTTATCTTAGTTTGAAAAAGAAATGATATTTATTTATTTATTTATTTTTCCTTTTTACAGATAAATATTATCTTTGTGATGTCGCCTATGCAAACATTCAAGGTTTTATGGCACCGTACTGTAATGTGAAGTATTGGCTTGGAGATTTTCGTCAAAGACGTGCATTAACGAATAAAGAAAAATTTAACCATGTACATGCAAAACTTCGAAACGTCATTGAGCATACTTTTGGTGTCTTGAAAGCACGATTCCCTATATTGAAGAGGATGGAACCATTCTCGTTGGTTACACAACAAAACATTACTCTTGCATGTTTCACACTTCATAATTTTATAAGAAGATAGAGACACTACATGATGAGTATTGTGCACGATATGATGAACCAAATATCTCGGTTCGGAATAACAACGCAGTTGTTGATGATGATGAAGATGAGATTCCAACACATAGTACTGCAGCGGACCGTAAATATATGACGGATGAAATTGTTGAGCAATTGATGCAAAATATCGAATGACAATTATTAAAGTTTGGTTGTATGAACTTTATTGCAAAATGCTATTTTAAGACTAATTTGATTGTATGAAATTTATTTCAATGTTTTAAGACTGCAATTATTAAATTTTCTGTGTTTAAAAACCATTTTTGTTTTATTAAATTAGTTTATTTTAATTTTTTAACGTCTGCAGAAATTAACAAAAACAAACACGTTTTTTATTACAGTTTGCAGCTGTTTGATCCACCTCTTCTGCTGCAGAGATTTGTAGAGATGATCTGCAGACTTTATGAATTTTTGTTTCGGAAAAACAAAAAACACCTGGGGCTCGCGGTCTAAGACCTCTTTGAATATTGAACTCGAAAGTGAATTTTCATGCACGGGAAGAGACCAAACAAGCATTTATCCACCCAATCCACCTTCTTACATACCACTCGATTATTTCATTATCCATCAATTGATTGTCCAGAATTTGCCTCATAAAAAGAGAGTACTCCATATTAACAAGACTATCAATCGTTAACATCAACAAATTATCTAATAGCTTTTGCAATAGTTTTGTATTACATCTATTAAGCTAATACATTATAATCTTTGACATACATACCTAAAATATGATATTGTGAATAACTCTAAAAATTATTATTTAATTAAAAATATGACAAAAGTACTTTATATTTCTTTTTTAAGATTAACCATTTTACCTAATCGTAGTAAATTAGTTAAAATTATCATTGTTCGTGGCTTTTAAAATTTGTATTATATTTCTCTTCATAAATAGTGAAATATAATTATGGTATATGTCAAATCAGATTTATAATCTTACGGCAACAATAAAAATAGTTTTGACATTTTTTGCATGGTAATTGTGTCATCCATTTTCACATGTCTCTATATGTATTGTAGGTAATTATGATCAAATTTTCACCATTCATTTTCTCTCTCTGTCGCTTTACTTTCTCTCTCTATATTTATCTGTGTATCTATATAAACTCCTCGTAACACTTCTGAAAGCATTTAGATTTTAGACTTCAAACTTTCTCCCTAACGAATCTCACTTATACATCCTTCCAAAAACCAAGTACTTGTCTTTCTCGTTCGGGTCGGATCATCCATTTCAAGATTTCTTTAACAGCAGCTTTACTAGCTATTTGCACACTGGGTAATCACCTACAATGGCGGAGGCTCTGAACTCTGAGACTGAGTCCACCACCACCACAATATCCGACCCATTTTCTAAAGAACTGAGTTTGGAGGATCCGAATAGGAAATGGATCAAACGTAGCAGAGAAAATGCAGAAGATGATGATGGCAATAGCAGTAGTAGCAAAGCCACCAAAAACAACAGTAAACATCCGGTTTACAGAGGTGTTCGGCGGCGGGCGTGGGGAAAATGGGTATCGGAGATCCGACAACCGAAGAAGAAATCCCGGATCTGGCTTGGAACCTTCCCTGACCCGGAAATGGCTGCACGTGCACACGACGTCGCTGCACTCTCCATCAAAGGCAAGTCCGCCATTCTTAACTTCCCTGAACTGTCGGATATCTTGCCCCGACCCATTTCATGCTCACCATGTGATGTCCAGGCAGCGGCCACTAAAGCTGCTTCCATGGTTCACCTCAACCAGATCACAACCGCAACGACGCCGTCAACGCCGTCCACGTCTGCTTCTTCGACTTGCTCCGCCGCGTCCACGTTGACGTCGTATTCGGGAAAGCCACCGTCGGAAGAGCTGAGCGAGATAGTGGAGCTTCCGAGTTTGGGAGAAGGGTTTAACTCGAACGATTTTGTATTTGTGGACTCTGGTTGGGACTACTTCTCGTCGCCACCATGGGTGGAGGGCGGCGACGGTGGATGTTTCGGTGGAGAGCCGTTGTCCGTAATGCCGTCGACTTCCGGACATGTTATATCACCTGGCAGCTTTTTCTTTGATGCCTTATTATGGCAATATTAATAAACTAAAAATAATAAATGTTTCTTTTAGTTTTTCTAGTTGTTTTATGGAGTTTAGTCTCTTAAACCACATTTTTATATCACGAGGAGTGTCATAAAAGTTAAATTTGATATGTAATTTAAGGGGTGATTATAAATTGATTAGCGTGTTTATTAAAATTCAAAAAATGTTAATATAAGATGTTATAATCATTGTATTTCTTGATGTTTTTTATTGAATGGTTAAGATCGAAATTAAAAATAAAACTATTAAATTTGTGATTATTTAAGTTGTAAAATGTACATGAACCAGTTAATTTTTATTTAAAATGATCATTGTAATTGGTGATATTCAGTAACCAATTTGAATAAAAAAATAATAAAGTTAGTGAAGGAAATATGAATGTTAGTTAAGCTTTTACTCAAAATCTATATGAAAGTAATTAACATAAATACAATTATATATATTTTCTGTCATGTTACTTTTCTAATTGCTTTTAATTAATAATTATATATTTCTTTCTAAATCGGTCATCATTACCACATCAATAATATAACAACTATATCATATAATTTGGGTGTTACTATATACTTTTTCCCTCTTATTCATATCATTCGTATGATCAGTAATCAAATCATACGTAACATATATATTATTCCACTCACACACAGGTTATACAAAACAATTTTGGATAAGTATAAAATTAGCCTATAATTTAGGTTAATTATTTATAAGTTATAATTCTTATCAAAATATTAGTATTAATATAATAAAATATAATTATTAAATGAAATAATTTTTAAGAAAAAATATGTGTTAATCTTTATATATTATTTTCCAACATCAAACCAAATGTTACAATTTTTGCCAACATACATCAGTTTTGTAAATGCCATCTCCGAAAACTCTGGTTTTATAAGAAAAAAATGATTTTTTTATGTTAGTAATTGTCACAACAAAATAAAGTTTAATATTGTAGTTTTCATCTATCAAAATGACAAAATCATAGAGAATCACTTGTAAAATTATAAAAATACAAAAATCTTAGATTGCAGTTAAAAAAATGTTTTTTAAGTTTATTTTTTAAAGATAATTTTCGTAGCAAAATATCTTTTTACTAAAAACCTAAGACTTTCGTATTTTACAAAAAAAAAAATTCACAGGTCATATCTATGAAATTAGGCTTTTTTTATAGTGGAAACTACAATATCAAATAATATTTTGGTGTGTAAATAATCTTTGAAGATTTATAACCCAAAAAAAACTTCAAAAAAGTTTGATTTTTTTTCCATAGATAACATTGGCGTCTTCTTTCGAAATTTTTTCAAAACCACATCGTTTTTGTGATTTGGCAGTTAATGTGTAAATTTTGCAAATGATATGCGAATTTTGTGACTATTTTGATAAACTCATTAATTCTTGCGTAAATATTAAAAAATGATAAATTAAAATACTCTTATTTTTTTAATATGTAAATTATACAACTCAATTATAGTAGACATTATATGATTTAATAAAAGATAACATGTAATAGTAAAATTATTGTGTTAGCCTATTAGTATCTAATACTTAATCTAATAATAAACAATAATCACTGCATAAATATGTCTATAACATAATAACATAACTATAAAACTAATTTAATAAATAAATAATAAAACTAATAATGTGAAATAATACTTCTAAATAATACCAGACTTGTTAACAATACAAGATGTGTTACAAAGGTTTACAAGTCTTGCTGATATGACAATTGATATGACAATATGATTAGTTATTTATATAAAACATTGCAAAATAGATGTGGAAAATCTACTTTCTAAACGTTAAAGAAAAATAGTACAACGACGATTATAAGATAGATATATACTTTAGTTCAGCTCACCGTTAAAGCATCTGCAATATAGTCTTCTGCAATATAGTCTTCGTAGTTTAGGTGGCCACGAATCACAACTGTACACATCATTCTGGTGTCTTACTGTGAGTCATGGTCACGGACTATTGTTGTGCCTCTCATGAACGAGACTGACAAATTAGGGTTCAACCTCCTCCTTCTTCTTCTTCTTCTCTCTCTCTCTATCGATAGAGAGAGAGAAAGAGAAAGAGAGAGAATACTCCATGGAATAGGGGTGGCTCGTGATGGTTGATCTAGAAGCTCTCAATAACCATTATCGTAGAAAGTATTGTAGATGGCCCGACATTACATTTAATAATAGTTTTTGGTATTTATTTAAAATTAATATTAACAATAGGATTCGTTAACCACATATATAGTTCAAATATGGTCTTCAAAACTTGTTGACTTATTATTCATTTAAGAGTATTGACACATGACGTCTCCTTTAAACGTCTTGTAAGAGTTTTTATGAAGTATCCTTAATTATTTAATAGAGTATTTAACTAAATACTAATACTACATATCTAATATAGCTACAATGTTGATATTATTTATTATTTAAGTGCCGTTCAAAAAAAAAATATTATTTAAGTACAGTAGCTCATGTGTTGTCTTGAGTGTTCTACTAACAACAATAGATATCTCGTGATTGAAAAAGCATAAGCAATTATAGGTTCTTTCCATTTCCATGCACAAAAAGGTTAACATGAATCTCTGTCAACATTTTTCTTTCCATACATATTTATTACATTTATATCTATCAATTTTTTGTTATCCCTTCTAATTTTTAGCTACCAACTTATAACTAGTTTTAACAAATACATCTTTAATTTCTTTTGTATTTACATGTATTGGTTGAAAAAATCACGTTTTTACCCAATTCATATGAGACAAAACGTTGCATATAAACCATATAAAAATATAAACTATCTACTTAGAGCAAATACGTTGATATCGTCTTTAATAAAGAAATGGACATTTCTCACTGCTACCAGCCCTTTTAGCTTTTAAAAGGTACTTCATTCACCCACCCACTCTCTTTATTTATTCATTTAATTTTCCTTAAAATTATTTTCAAAATAATTCAGTTAAATTATTTGAATATGAATCAAATGAATGACACTTCTAACCCTAAATTAACGATCCATATTATGCGACAAATAAATACCGTAATGGCAAGAGAATAATAAGAGATTCCCTTATTTAATATAATTGGTTACATTAAATGTCTATATTATAAAGTTTATGAATTGAATATCTAATTGAATCCCGTTAAAAAAAAAGTTTAATAAATAAATAAATAAGCTAATTGAATGTGTTTATTTTGTTAGTTAAACATGTAATTGTATTATAAGGTGTTAGGACTTTTTGTTTCGCAGAAACTAATAGAAATTCAATTTCACCACATTCCTGTGTTTGTTCAATTTTTTGTGATAAAATTAGATTTGTAAATGAATTTTCTTCCACCAAATGAATAAAAGTGAATTCCTTCAAAGTTTCGATGAAATTAATTTCAATGCGTGAGGGAAAATACAAGATTATCATATTACCCTCTACTATCATCATTACCAACACTCACTACCACTACTAGCGACCATTACCCGCCGCAATCATACCACCATCGCCACCACGACTCGCCATAACCACTCACCACCACCGCCACCATTGTCACCAACATCATCACCACCACCGTCCCTACTACCACCACCATTGTCGTTGTTGCTGCCACCACCACCACCACCATCACCACCCGCTACCACAACCACTGTCGTTGCCGCCACCACCTCCAATACCACAACCACCATGTAATACTTGTTTTCTATAAAAAGGTATTATTCCAAGGGGTACAATTTATTTACAAGACAAGTAGGAGAAATAAAGCATGGAGTTTACCTTAAGTTATTTATTGACATTTAACAAAATACAGTAAAATAATGTTGTAGTCTATACAATGACGATTTCGTGAATATAAAGTTTGTCGAAATCGGAGTCCGTATAAGAAAATTATTGGTGTTTGAAGTTGAGATAAAAGTATGTTGCTATTCTTAGAAAGTCAATGAAAGTAAAAGTCAAAGGGTTAATGGCGGCCTTTTGTGGCGTGGCCAAGTCCTCGCCACAACGCAGAGAAGAAGTGAGTCATGACGACACCTGTCAGTTAGAGAGTGACACATAGCAACACCAGAGTATTCTTTATCACCATTCACCACGACACGACGAGCTTCTTGTCACGACGTGACGTGAAAGTATACAAATACTCTTCATTTGTGTAGTTTTTTTAGCATACGATGTCAGGGAGTGACTCGAGATAATAGATCATATGTATTAACCCTGCAAAACCAAGTGTTATCAAACAACCCCACAAAAATATCTATAAGACAATTTTCACATAGTTACTCATCTCGTCGATCCTTACATATTGAGCATATGAGATATGTCATGATGGATCACTGTAAGAAACGAGTTGGCTATACTTCTTCGGGGATTCCTTAGTAGTAGGCATTAGTCAATAAAGGAAACCATGGGGATAGAGTGCTCAAAGAAACACATAATCCTTTTATGTGGATTAGTATGACTCATTAATACCACAAGACAATTTAGAAAATGATGGTCGTTTTCATCTTACTCTGACAGATGATCAGGCATCTAACGGTGGCCTAAAACAAACATACCATTTTTGGCTGTCTAAAAAAGAGGGGAAATACTTATATAGTAATCCAGTATGTAATTCGTACCCCACCAAACATCAATGTCAATTAACAGATTTCTACTCTCTGTTCCAATCTCACACATATTCTTAATATGATGTTGCCTAATATCCAAACTTAACTAAACTAAGCATCCCTTTTAGGTCTTAGTGTATAACTAGACAAGATTACAATATTGGTAATCAACACAAATTTCATGCCTATGTAATATCTTTACAATACATGGTATAACTAACACTCTTTCAACTTAACTTGAACTAAGAATCCTTTATAAGTCTTATCTCATCACTAGGAAAGACTATAATGCTTGTAATCAACTTCCAAAACCATTTTCCTATTCATACCATACTCTCGCAATAAAGTATACGACTACACTTTTATCCAACTTAATTAGAACTAATCATCCTTTATATGTCTTG